GGCTGTGCTGTTCCAAGGTGTCAGAGCTCCATGTGTGTTGTGTAGCTCGGATCTGGATGGAATTCCAAGCTGTGCTCCCTCCTTGGATGTGTAATGCTTATCCCATGGTCCATCAGTATTTTTGATTTTACACCTTTGGGATTTAATGGACTTGGAGCAGGCAGAGCTCTTTGCCATGAGGAATGTGCATTCCACAGTCTCCTGGTTTGTGGGCTAGACAAGGGTTGTTTTTTTGCTGAAGTTCCGAAGTCTGGTTGTCGTGGACACGAGTCCCAGTGAGTTTCCTTTAGGCCAGGCTGGAGTGTGACTCTGTTGCCATCGTGTCAGAAAAGAGCTTTGTGACACATCAGAAATGAGGTTGGGAAAGTCCTAAACTGAGGGAGCTGCTGCTGGAGAGGTGTCAGTGTCTCCTGTTTCTTTGGTGGAATTTCAGGAAAATYAAACAGCCTGGAATGTGCCTGGAACACGGAGGATTGGACCTTTCTCTCCTCAGCTGTGTGTTACCTGGCATGTGGGAGAGGGTTTGACCTACAGTTCTGAACAAATTTGGGAACTCCGTGGTAGCTGATCCTCACTGTGTGTTCTCCTTTTTCTTTTGTAATATGGAATAATAATAATAAACAAAAMCTATCAAGTGTTAAGATGTAAAAACCTGGTGGCCAGTTCTTCTTGTWTCCAGCAAGGGAAGCACCTGTCCTGCCAGACACACCAGGAGTCAATTTTTTATGCTCTTTAAATAGTGTGTTGGAAAGAACAACTGATTTTTCATCGTGGGAATATTAAATAGTAACACAAGTTCGCTCTTTAATCACTGATCATGAAATTCTTAGTTTGGATTTACTTTAAAATCTGGATTTTAAAAAGTAAAATCTCATTTCTGAGGGTAAGAGATGCAGCAGCTGATGCTGTTCTGCTGGTTGTTCCAAACAGTCCGTGTTTTCCATGAATTGTAAATATTTGTTGAAACAATTAATGGTTGCAAATTTTGATCTTGGTAAATAAAGTCACCAAAATATTATAATTCTGATGGTCCCTGTTGATTTTTAATGAAGGTAGAGCTGCAATGGTGCTGACGAGGTGTGGGATGGGGTCTCATAACAGCCAGGAATAAATAATAATCAATTTTAGTGGATGAAATGGCACTTCTATACGTACACCTGCCAGTGCAAAAATCATGGCTGCAGAACAGCTTTTACCTTCCAGCAGGATATTTTTTACCTTCTTGGTTTTCATTAGGCTGAGCTACAGTTAAGGTATGGTTAATTAAATGGTTAATTACAACCTTWGTGTGCTCTGCTGGTTTTTACCCGGCAGAGGGAGCATCTGCCATCCCCAAACCTTGGTGGCATCACCRAGCACATGAAACCTGGTGGCTGGAAAAGCACAGAAATAGGGTGAGAAAAAAAGTGTTTCCAGTTGATAACATTTTGTATTCGATTTTCCTTATTAGGGCAGAGGCAGGAAACAAAAAACACAATTGCAAGCATGACTCCTAAAAAGTAAGTGCTTATCCTTTGGCTCTTGATTTTATTGTGAGTCAGGAGGGAGCGAGTTTTTCCAAGCTTTCCCAGGCAGGACAGAGCTCCACACGATGGTTTGCCCCTCTACCAAAGCTGTGCCAGCACCACGTGTGCCACGGGCAGGAGGATGCTGAGTGCAGAGCTCACAGGGCTCCAGGTCTCGTTCGCCAGCCGCACCTTTGCCTTTATCCATTTCCTGTACTGGGACAGGCGGACGTAGATCCCGGGGTATTTGGGGCGGCCGCAGCCGATGCCGAAGCTGGCGATCCCGATCAGGTAGTACTTGTCACTGTCAGGGTGGTAACACTCCAGGGGGCCCCCGCTGTCACCCTGCAAATGAACAACAAGAAAAACGGGGTCATGTCACTCCTCACAGCAAACAATTGGGGCACTGAGCAATACTTTTTAGATTTATTTTAAGCAGCTCGGTTAACCTGACAGTAACAATGACGGCAACACCTGGGCAGTAGCACATGGACAACTCAAGGTAAATGTGGTGATGCTGAAAAACACAGAATCGGCATCCCTGAGGTTGGAAAGACCCTTGAAGATCATCAAATCCAACCTGTGCTGGATCCACACCTTGTCACCCAGCCCAGAGCACTGAGTGTCACCTCCAGTCCTTCCTTGGACACCTCCAGGGATGGGGACTCCAAACTTCCCTGGGCAGCCCCTTCCAATGCCTGACAACTGTTTCTTTGGATAAATTCCTCCTGATTCTGGTCAAGACATTGTACTGAGCAGACCCCCAGGCCTGCAGTGCTCCAGTATCYTTTAACTCAGGTTCTGTTTGCTCTCTGCACCTTTTCATGCCTAAACCTAAAGCTTCACTCCTCACTTARTTGGGAATGTGCTGTCCACACAGTKCAGAAGCTGCAAGAGGCACAGTAAGGAACACACATCCCATGTCCTGGCCGTGTCACCTGCTCAGGGAAAACTGCTGAGAGGAGCAGGAAGTGTATCAGACAAAGCACTTAGGATACATTATGGGGTTTAATTAGAAATACCTCCATGTCCCAGCTGCTGCTGCAGCTTCTGCCAGTGCTTTGGACCTGAGAACTGGCTTTTCTGAGAAAGAGGCGGTGATTGCT